GTGAGAGATGCTGCAAGCTGGTAGTTTCAAGGGAAAGGGAGATTGTGTGTTTACAATAAGAACCTGGAGGTATGGGTTGCATAAATACCATCTAGAAGGTACTTGAAAGATGTTATGTTAAGCCGTATTTGAAGAGGGTTGATGCTTTTAACAATTAGACTTGACTATTGAATAAACGAATAAATTCTCTCTCTCTCTCTCTCCCTCTCCCTCTCTCTCTCTCTCCCTCTCCCCCTCCCCTTCTCTTCCTTCTATATCCTCTCTCTCTTACAATCACACAGTTTGTTACCAGCGTACATCATCCTATGAGCTCGAGCAAGCTTTTGGTGGTGAAGTCCCATAGTTAAATATGTTTCACTTTCCTATTTATTTGCAGGTCTTAACTAAAATATGTGAAATAAAATTTAGAAGTGACAAGTATAGGGCTGTTAGCATCTTTCTTTTTCTGAACCATGAATCACTAATGGTTTTAACAAAATGCAATGAACATTGGAAACATTGGCTTTAAGAGATCACTATTTGAATTTTAGTAGAAAATGACATGCTTTATGTCCTTGCCAAATGTTTTTTGGGCTCTTTCAGGAAAAAGATGATCTTGAGACCCAGTTTCGTGAAGTTAACGAGAAAGCTGACCGCGCATCATCACAGCTGTCAGCATTGCAGCAAGAACTGGAGCGTACACGTCAGAATGCTAATGAAGCTCTGAAAGCAATGGATGTAGAAAGGCAACAATTACGAAGTGCAAACAATAAGTATAGTCGCCAGAATAGCTCTTTTAAACAGATCAAATCATACAGCATTATAGTTCATTATGAAAGAAATGAATTCTGCTGCGGCAAATTTTAAATTTATCTATAATATCATTATGCTTTGTGTACGTTCGAATTTTTAGATTATCTTTTTCTGATAATTATGTGAAAATATTCAAATGATGCTGGCAGTAAATCTATTCTTCAAAATATTTTGGTGCTTATAAAAGGTTCTGTCAATATTGTTTAAGATTTCTGTCTCTATCAAGTGAAAAAAGTAACAAAAACGTTGTTGGTTGGATATATGGACTTCTGAAATTCCTTTTTACTCTTAATCACATAAAAATGCTACTGTTATGTAGACTTCGGGACAACATTGAAGAGCTGCGTCGTTCCTTGGTACCCAAAGAAAATGCTTTGGAGACACTACAGCAGTCACTTTTAGAAAAAGATCAGGTATATTTTGTGATTTTTTTTGACTGAATTTTCATTAGTTTTGTTACTCCGAAAGTTTGTTGTTATTCCCAACTTATGTAACTTCATGTAGTCTTGTACTTGTAATTTGGAAAGTTGTCTTTTGTTTCTGATATCCTATAGTGAGAGAGAGGGCTCCTTTTGGCTTGTAAGGAGAGAGACTTGCATGTGCTTGATATGCATGAAATATATAATTTTAATCTTGTAAGGCGACTTGCGACCTTGTGGCATTTATAAGCGATGGTTAAATCTGTCTGAAAGTGAGGACTGAGAAAATGATTGAAAAGAGAGAAAGCGAAAGAGGTTCGACAATAACTCAATAAGCACTAATTTTTGAAGCTGGTAACGTATATCACATTTTGTCGCTTATGTATATCGTTGTCTTCATTTGGTCGAACTTCCCTATTTTTACCGGCCATAAATCTGAAGTTTTTGCAATGTGAAAGGTAGGCATATTGACGTTCTTCTGAAAACCTTTCTTCCTGTAAAATAATATTTCTTGATGTTAAAGATGTATGTTAATTACCTTAGGCTCAGGATATTNTAAGGGGTATAGTATCCAAAGTTTTGAGAAGAGTCTGGATTCCACCTAAGAAAGTGTCCTCATTATCATCCAAGTCATCAAAATCTTCAAGTTTAAGTTCATAGACTAGATCTTCCAACGGCTCCTCTATTACATTCTTTCGTTCTTCCACGACTAAGGTTCGATTAGGACATTTAGAAGAAATGTGACCAAAGTCTTTACAGTGGACGCACAACAAGTGAGAAGAAGACTTTGGAGTTTCAGAAATTCTACCCTGATTTTCCAAGATTGGAGAACCATTAGAAGGGGGAGGTCCTAGAAGGGACTTAACGGAAGGAGGTGGAGCCAATGAAGCC